ACTCAGTTGGATAAACCCGCTGCCCTTTCGTTCTGCTTGATGTCTGACCAAACATTAAATTATGAAACAGGTAAAAATTAATCCGACGAGTTAGTTACCAGCTCCCTCCCTCTCCCCCCCCTCCAGCCAGGAGCACAGATTTCCCCACCTCGCCTAAACCCCTGATTCTTCCCTGCAATAAGGCCCCAGCCTGAAATGGAGCCCAGGGTTAATTAGAGGCATCCTGTCAGACTTGACTTGAAATTGAAAGAAAAATGTTTAAATATTTATGAATTTGACATTTACAGTTGGATGTCTTTTAAAGCAGAACACCTCTCCCTGTGCTGGTTGGGGCTGCCATGGTGCGTGTGCCTGGGGTGGAAGTGGAACAATAGCTGTTGCATAACAAGAAAAACAAATCACCTCCCCCCCCCCCAAGGCTTAACAAATAAATAGACCACATAAATTACACATAATTAAATATTAAGCTCAGCTACATGTAACTATGCATTTTTTAAACTTTATATAGCAGAATATATTGACATTCCCCTGAATGATTTTCTCCTTGGAAAATCCCAGTGAAGGAAAAACAACTAATTCCTAAACGGATGGCTTAGGAAGTGACTCTAAATACGGAGGCTTTGGAGATGTTCAGCCAGTCTTTCCTTGCTTTGAAACGGCCTGGCCTGAGCTTAAATGCTAGAAGGCAAAGATTTACCCTGCCTCAGAGCAACATTACACCTACCACTTACTCAACAGTGTTTGCTTGAAGTACACCACTTCTGTGAGGGTTTGTGGTCATTGTTTTTTTTTAAGAGGGAAGAAAAATGCTTAGGATCTGATCTCATGCAGGCTTTCACGGTCCCTCGACAGAACGCATTTTATATACACCCAAACGTGAGTCAGTAACTAGAGCAGCCATAACACTGGAGTCACAAATCACTGGTCTAATCAAAGAGCAGCGTCCCGTTCCACGGTATCATCCCATGATGCAGCAGAACAGCCGACATTTCAAACGAATTCCAGGCAAATGTCAGTAAATATTTAACATACGCTTTCATGTAAATAAGTTCTCACACCTATGTTGGAAGTGTGGGGGAAAGTCTTTGTAAGAGCAGAGAGGAGCTCCCATGCAGTGATGTGAAAGCTCACCTTCCAGATGCCTCAGCACAATTACACTTCATTATTTCCTCTAGGACAGGGCCTGATTCTGGTCCTTGCTGAAGCAAAACTTCAACTGAAGTTGAGGTTTTGTTTTGCTTCATAAATTTAAAAAGATATTCCTGATTTAAAACCCAGTTTGCCAGTTACTGCACCCGACCCCTCTTCCAGTTTGCAAAGGAAAAATCACTACGATTCATTTTAAAACAACTTGACATGATCATTTTTTGCAATTTTTGCATACCTTGATTTTTACATTTATATTAGACAGTTTCATTTCTGAGCAATAAAAAAAATGCAGATTTCTTAGTAAACATGGGCAAAAAGATGAACTTCAGAATATGATTTGCTTCAAAATATTAGAATGTTAAAAAACTCAAGAGGTGCTATTTTTAATTTGGAATTCACTATAGAATCTAATAAATGAGCAAAGTGAGGCGGAAATAATCATGTATTAATTCTGTGCATTACAAAATCTTTTCAGAAGCTATTATCAGAGCAAGAGGCATTGTGGTTTGGATTCAGGGTGGGAGAAATCCTTTGTGCAACTGAAAGCTATTGTTCCTCTGTGCAGATGAAATTGTACTTGCAAATCTGCCATTCAAGGAGGGAAAAAAGTGCCTAGGCAGAAGAAAAGAATTCTACAAGAAAATAATTATTCTTAAAAATAAACTTCACTAAAATAAGTTTTAGTTCATCAGGGTTTT